ACGTAAATGTTCTCCAAGAAGACCCTTCCTCAAGGAATTAAATATATTGGTGAATGATGTACTGATTTCCTTGAAAACTGCTGTGGTGGCTGTCCCTTGCAGTTCTGGGTTAAATATGGCCAATATTGCCTTTAAAGGGGGCTTCCTGATTTCAGTGGGATAGTGGGATTCCCAGAGTGACAAAGGATAAGTAGAAGCACTTAATCCTCAGATAAAAAGTAGGTATGGTTTTAATAGGCAAGAGGGCCAGACCTGTCATCAGAACGGTTTGGATCTCCGGTGGTGGATAACCATGGTGTCCTACGGAAAAACAGATGGGCAGTACACTTGATGAGAAGAAAAAAAAGAAAACAAAAACAAAAAAAAAACCTCTAGGTTTATCAAACTGAGGCCTGACTTAAGTGGCCACAATGTAAGAATTTTGGCATGTCACCTATACACAGGCTGAGCTTGTTCAAAGACACAGAGCCCCTGCAAAAAAAGGAGACAATGGGTTCCACTGAGGCAGGACCCTACAACATTGCATCAGGAGCATACTTGAAGTCTTCCTCCTAGCCTTTCCAAGAGAACATGCAGCTTTTCATCAAGGAGACAGTGCATGTGGGAAACAGAATCACTCGGGCTTTTTAGGGGTTAATCAACACTGGCTCTAAGCCCATGCTAACCTTTAAGGACCAGAAGATCACTGTGGTAAACCAGTCAGATCAAGAGCTGTGATGTCATATGAAGAAAGAAGTGTTTTGACTCCGATCCATCTCACAGTGGACCCAATGAATCCATGGACTCACCCTGTGTTCCTGAACACAGTTAAAGGCTCCCTAAACTATGGAGTAAGGGTTATCAGCATAAGAAAGGCCAAGTGTTTAAAAAAAAAAAAGGCCAAGTAAAATCCCCTAGATGTGCTCCTTCCTAACAAAATAATAAATCCAAAGCAACAGCACATCTCTGTGGAAACTGGAGAACGATACCAACTTAAAAGACTTAAAAGACAGTGGGATGGGGATTGTTAGGACATTCTGTTTCACCAGCCAGTGCAGAGGACTTGGATCTTCGAGAATGACTGTGGAGTATAGTAAACCAAATGAAGTGGTGACTCCAATTGTAGCTGTTCCAGATACAGTCTCTACTGGGACAAATCAACACAATCCCTGGCACCTCGTATGCATCCATCAAGCTGACAAAATGCTTTCTTTTTACCTATTCCAAAAAGAGACCACTGGAAGCTGTTTTCATCTTATAGTCCAGAAATACACTTTGACTGTCATAGCTCAGGGCTTCATCAATACTCCAGCTATCTTTCATTATTTGGTCCACAGACTGTGGGCATCTCAACACCTCACAGGTTCACTACATTGTTAGTTCAACCAGCAAATCCTGTATCCCCACCCACACTTGGTGCCATCCAGCTTTCTACTTTTTGCCAACCTAACAGGTGGGAAGACACTATTACTCTTTTAATTTTAATTTGCCTGTCTCTGATTATTTAATAATTCTAAATACCTTTTCCTATGCATGTTAAGATTTACTATTCTTTAACCTACTTATTAATATCCTTTGACTATTTTTCTACAGAGGTTGCTGCCCTCTTTTTATTGATATGTAGTTCCTTGTCTAGTCTACATATTAATCCCTTATCAATTTGGGCACTGCAAATACCTTCTCTCATTCTTTGTCTTTCACTGAATGAAAATCTTTAGTTTTTATATAATCGAAGTCATTATTTTTTACCTTTATAAATTTTTGAAGCTTCCTTGTCCCTTAAGGAAAGAGCTTTTTCAACAATGTCTTCCATTAATTTTATAATTTCTCTCACATTTAGGTCTTTTTAATTTATCCATAACCCATCCTTTCTAAAGCGTAAGGTTTGCTTTTTCTCCATATAGTGAGCCACTCTTCCTAACGTGACTCCTTTCTCCAGTGACTTATGATGCCACCCTTAAGTTCCTGAACACATATGGGCAATTTGTTCCCCAAGTCTATTTTTCTGTTCATGCACTGACACTACAGTTTTTATTACTACAGCCTTGAAACAGTTACCTTAATTTCTGATAAGGCAAGCTCCACCAAAACAAATATTAAAAATTGCTTTAGCTATTCACAAACTTTATCCCATCTGCCATATGAATTTTAGATCTAGGTTACTCAGTTTGTCAGACAAACCAACTGGAATCTTGATGGCAATTTAATCGAATTTATAGATCAAAATGGAGAAAAATGACCCTCATAATAATTAAACATATCCCAAGAATGTGGAGTTTTTCCTTATTTAGATCCTCTTCTAGTTCCTTATTAAAGTTTTAAAGTTTTCTTCTTAAAGTTCTTATGTACTCTTGTGTTAATTCCTAGAGACTTTACAGTTTTGATGTTTTTATTTATTACAATATTTACTTTTGATTACCTTTCCTAGTTGGTTATTGCTAGTGTAGTAAATGCCACTAATTTTTGTAGTTTGATCTTCAATCCAGTAACCCTGCTAAACTCTTACTAGTTCTAATAGTTTCTCTGGATTCTAATGGTTCTTCTAGGTAAGTGATAATATCCGCAAATAATGAGTTTTTATGCTTCCCTTCATATCCTTATATTTATTTTTCCCCTTTGTAGTGTTAGCCAGGACTTTTCTTACCGTGTTAAACAACAATAGTGATAGAGGGTATCCTTGTTACTGATTTTTAAATGAATGTATCTAAAATTTCTCCATTAAGTGTTATTATTTGCTGTAGGTTTTTGGTAATGACCTCAATCTAGTTACCTCATATTCCAAGCTTGCTAAGAGTTTTTAACATATATAGTTGTTGGATCTTATCGAATGTTTTTATGGTATCAAGATAATCATGATTTTTCTCCTTTAGTCTATTAATGTGATAAATTACATTAATAGTAAATAGATGTTGAATCATATCTACATTCTTAAACTCCACGGATCATGATTTCTTTAACACAGACATGAAGTAGGATTTTCATATCTATGCTAATAATTGAAACATCTATAATTTTCTCATATCGTCCTTATCTAGGTTTAAAATCAAGATTTCACTAACACTAACTTTATAAATTGAGCTAGGCATCTTTTTATTTCCCTATTTCCCAGAAAAACTTGTAAAAAGGAATTGTTAAAGTTCAATGCAACTCACTGATCTCAGCCCAGTTTTTGAAAGTGGAGGTCTTTACCATGTCAGTTTGTTAAATATTACTTCAAGCCATCCATTTCTTCTGACACCAACTTTCAGCTTGTATTTTTCTAAGAATTTATACTTTTCATCTAGGCTCTCATATTTATTAACCTATAGTTCATAAAATTCTTTTTTAAAATTCTCATGCTTGGGGCACCTGGGTGGTTCAGTCGTTATGTGTCTGCCTTCGGCTCAGGTCATGATCCCAGGGTCCTGGGATCGAGCCCCGCATCAGGCTCCCTGCTCCGTAGGAAGCCTGCTTCTCCCTCTCCCACTCCCCCTGCTTGTGTTCCCTCTCTCGCTGTGTCTCTCTCTGTCAAATAAATAAATAAAATCTTTTAAAAAAATAAAAAACAAAAAAAATTCTCATGCTTGGTAGTTATTTCCCATTTTTCCCTTAATTATATTTGCATCTTTTTTTCTTGATCAAACTTATCAGAGGTCTAGCTTATTAATCTTCAAAGAACAATCTTTTGGTTCAGCAAATCTTTTGTTCCTAATTTCATTGGTTTCTGCTCTTAATTTGATGGTGTTTTCTGAACTCTTCAAATGAACCATATAAGCACTAAACAAGCTTCTGTCAGCATTTAGATAAGTCACCTGGCCACTCTGTCCAAGGCCTGGTTTCACTATATATAGACTTCAATACACAAACTATATTATTCTCACATATGCATGATAAAAAAAAAATCATATCCGATTCTTACCAACCATACCTACACATGAAAGTCCTTGACCAAAGCTTTACCTTGAAGGCAAATAAATTAGATTATGTGCTTGTACCCACCAAAAAAATTAAAGTGTAAAGCTGTAATTGTATATCTGAATCAAGGCAGATATTTTCTCTGCACAGCTAATTGGACAATTACTGGTACCGCTTGATAAAATTAGTAACTAGAAATGAAATCTCCAGTTGCTTTACCAGATGCTATTCAAATCCTGCAGTTATTAATAGGAGAGTAAAATCTGGCTGCCATGGTCACTTTTCACCACTACCACCACCTCCAAAAAAACCCACTCAAAGCAAAAGCACTTTTTTTCCGCAGCTTTAGAAGCATACCTCCTGGTTAGGGGCAGTTTGGGATTACAAAACAGATTTTGGTCTTCAATCTTTGTGCTCGCAATTGAACATTAAGGCAAGGCAGATCACTAACATAAAGTTCAACATTCAACATAATCTTGGACTTGGACACATGCTAAATGGCTTATTCTTATGAGTGTAGGCTTTGAAAAGTAATTGTATACGTTATTAGCTTCAAAACGGACGTCGCTCCCACCGCATTGGTGTGACCCAAGAAACAACTCCTACATTTCCCTATCAGGACGCAGAAGGTGTACACTGAAGAAGGGAAAGAACGAGATGTAGATATTGGTCAACTTTCTAATTCCCGAGTTGTTTCACGCAGACTAGCTAAAAGCACAAGAACACAATTGCCAGAGTTCAATCTGGTTACCAAAAAAAAAGGCTCTCCCTAACGAAACTCAGAAGGCCTTATTTTCCCCTCACGTTTCAGGGCGAAACTTTGAAGGGGGAACGGAGAAGAGCTTCTTAATGTTGCGAGATAGCCAGCTGTGATAAAGATCGCATTTGCAGGAGAACTTGGGGCTGTGTGCACACCAGGCTGCTTCTCCAGGCCAGGTAACACAAGAAGCCAGGGCCGCTCCGGCGCTGGCCGCAGACACCAAAAGAGGGGGGAAGGGAGGAGGGGAGGGGAGGGGAGGAGAGACCCAGGCCTGAAACAAAGGAAGCGGGGCTGGCCGAGAAGGGTGGATTCGGCGTCCGGGTGGGGAGGAGAAAAGCCAAGGCTGCTGGGGAGAGGCTGGACTCACAGAACTTGGAGGTGGAGGTGTTGATGTTGATGGTGGAGCTGGGGGTGGGGGCGGGGGCCGCCTTGGCCACAGCGGCGGCCGTGTCGCAGCTCTTCAACATCATGATCACCCCATTGGCCTCTGGCGGTGGTGGCGGCCCCATCGAGAGCCCCTCCTTGGGGCCTTTCCTGTCCACCGAGGCGGCGGGCACCGCCAGCAGCTGCCCCCCCGGCGGCTCTCGCGCAGGGGCTGGGATCGACGAGGGGGGCGGCGGCGGTGGCTGGGGCTGCCGGAAGCCGTCCACCGCGGCCTCCCAGTTGTTGTGGTTCTGGTCGTCCATCATCGCCACGTAGCTGCCCCACTCCTCCTCTTCCATGCTTTCCTCCATCCTGCAGGCCCCCAGCACCCGCCCGCCTCACAGGCACCTGCCGCCCGTCTCAACCCCGGGCCAGGGGGCACCGCAGCCTCCTCGAGCTCACATCGCCGGGGGCCGGCACGGGCGCGGCGGGGAGGGGAGCAGCGCGCCGGGTCTCTCCGTCTCCGCCGGGCCGACTCTTAGAAACAGGGCTGACGGCGGTGGGCGCTCCCGGGATCTAGCCTGGGAGAGGCAGCCGTAAAGCGGCAGCGCCCCTCACGACATTTTACAGCAACTTCCAACAGGCGGTTGGAAAGGGCAGCTGGGGGAGCGGCCAGGAGGGCACGTGGTGCGAGGAACGAGCCAGGAGAAAGCAAAGCAAAAAGGGGCAGGAGCGGTGAGTCACCCTCACGCAAAAGGGCAAAGGTTTGGCTCGCCTCAGCTGGCCCAGAGCTGAGAGAGGAGGGGCCCCGGGTCCAGAGGAGCAGGCGTCGATCCCGCCCCCGGTCCGGCCCCACGTGACAAGGGGGTTTGCGCACGCGCGTTCTGTGTCTGGTTACCAGGGCAACCGGAATCTGGCCCGCTCCTGAAGATGCGCCCCACATCCTCTGGCGTTCGCTGTGGTACAGGCTCCCGTTTCTGTGGTGGTTTTCGTACGCCCGCCGGATTTACTGGGTCTTCGTACCGCACAGGGGCTCGCGGCCCGGGCCTTTGGCTGACACGGAGCTAAGAGGCCGCAAGAGGCCTGGGTTCGCACGTTATAAAAGGGTGGGACTGCCCTGGGTGGCCCTTGACGGGTCTGCTGGTGGGCGTCTCAGCCCGTACTACCGAAACTTTCGAAACCGAGAATAAAAACCGAAACATAGCAAGGCGGCTTAAAAAAAAATGCGTTTGAGCTATTCATGGACTTTTTTTTTTTCAAGTTCCTTAACCTCTATACACTGAGGCCAGGAATTTTAAATTTTTAAATGCCAAGCTTCACACAGTGTTCAACAAACCTGACTACAAATTTGGGATTATGTGTGAGAGTCCTGAAGGGCAAAAAGAGCTTATGTAACTATAATTTCTTTAATTTCTCTGCATTCTCACATTATAGCAATAGTATATTATTACAGGAGAACAAATGTTATTGTTTATTGTGTTTATAGCTCATTCTACCTACTGGTGATAAAGTTGACTAGAAAAACCTGTTATTATTTACTCTAGCAGATAATGAATCTTTATTTCCACAGATGTGTAATTAATGTAAAGAATCACTTCAGCTGCTGAAAAATCATTATCTCGGATGTATTTCAATGTCCACATTTATTTGGGCTTTTCTACATATGTTTTCCCAGTGTATTCTGTGCTATACTTAATGCAACTGTTTACTAGTCACTTAACAATGATTTAATTCTAGACAGTGCTCCCACATATTAGTGGCACATGTTTTTTGAAGCAGTGCATGTTTTTAATTACATGGGCCTACTATACTAATTCTCTGGCCCTGGGAAATTTTTGGAATATTTTCTTAAGTGAAAGATAACTGAGTAAAATGCTAAGGGTGGAAAAAATGTAACCTGAGAATTCTGTGCCCAGAAAAAAAGAGGGTGGAAAAGGAAAACAAATTACAATCTTTTATAGACAAACAGCAACTCATAGTTTATCATCAATAGACTTTTATATAGATGGGTGGGTGGCTGTGACTGGAGATAAAGAGGTTTCTACATGATAAAATATTCAATACACAAGGAAGATACAAATCATAGATATATCTCTAATAACATGGTCACAAAATATATGAAGCAAAAGTTCATGAAAGTACAAGAAGGAAGAGAAATCTACCGTCATGGCAGGTGATTTTCACATCTCTCTCTAATAGATTGCAGTGGGTTGAATAGTAGCCCCGAAAAAGATATATCTGTGTCCTAATCCCTGGAACCTGTGAATCTTTATTTTAGAAACAGGGTCTTTGCAGGACGTGAGGCGTGCAGTGCTGACGTGACAAGAACCATTTTGGACGTTGGTTTTCTTTTGTAAGGGGCTTCGGAAGGCTTCCTTTAATCTTTACTTTTGGTCCCATTGCCAAGAAGAGTTGTTCAAACGGTCGTAATACCTGAGTTCAGAAGAAACAGCTTACAATCGAGAAAATGCCGCCTCTTGAAATGGATATAGCAGTGGAAACCGAAGAGAGAGTAAGGTTTGAGCATCATATAACACAGGAGCTTAAAGATCTATGCTCATTGATAAATAGGCTAGTGTCAGAGCGCTTGGAAAGGAGAGAGAGAGAGAGAACAGAACTGTGCAAGCCTGATGGGTCACAAAATCGAATTACCGAAGTAAATGCAAAGCAAGAGAAACGTGCAGAAAAAAAGGAAAAATAAAAGAGAAGAAGAGATATCTACAGGATCGATCCAGGAGATACAATCTACACGTAATAGGAGTACCTGAAACGGGAAAGCAAATGAAGCTGAAACAATAAGGACCTAATTGAAGAAAATATTCCAGATTCGAAAAACGAACTAAATCTGCAAATAGAAAAAGTTCATAGAGTATCAGTAAAACAACGAAAAGAAAGCAACACCTAGACCTAGCCCAGTGACGTTTTTAAACTGGAAGGATAAAGAAAAAAATTCTACAAGTATTCAGAGAAAGCAGGTTACCTGTAAAGGGGTAAAAGTCAGACTGACGCGATTTTTCTCTTGCAACTCTAAATGCCGAAAGTATCTACAGCTTTAAGGGAAAATGATTTTGAACTAAGAGTTATATATCCTGCCAAGTTATCGTTTCTAAATGAAAGCAACTGGAAGACATTCCTAGATATGCAAGGGTTAAGAAAGTTTATCAGCCAAATACCATTCTTGAAAAATTTGCTAAATGATGTTACTGCAGAGCACAAAAACAACTCGAGTAGTGAGGCACTTGTATGGAAAAAAAATGGCGGGTAAGCCTTAAAGCTAGTTAAATATCATTAAAGATTAAATTGTTATATGTAGGGTTATAAAACTAAATGCAAAAATAAATTCTTGAGTTGGGTCTAAAATTTCAGTTTGTCTTGTTTTAAACCCAAAAGGTGTGCTAAATGTTCAATGCAGACAGCAAGTAAGTACTGTTTTTAGTATGTAATGTAGATAAAGATATGCATGCTCTTCAGCTAAATAAATAAAAAGGGCTTTGTTACTGTGGTGGACAGGACACCTAGAGTAAAGGCATTCCAAGTGTTAATCTGATAAAATGGGAAATTGGTACAGTTTTGTGTCCTTTATTTTTAATTATAGAGGGGGGAAAAGTAACAAGTTTGTTTATAATGTTAAGGCTGACAATGTAAAGAATATTTCCAAATCCCTGACTGGGGGAGGTGGTAGATGAAAACCTTGTTTTATGTACATCTTGCCTAGGGAAAATCAGTAGTAACCACTTCATGTAGTAGTTCATTCTAAGTAAATTTGACGTTGAGATAAGTGTTACAGATAAAAGAGGAGAGGAAATGGTGAAAAAACAAAAACAGTAAGGAAACATTAAAATTAGCATAAAATAGACTAACAGAGATAACAGGTGAATTATCACGCTCATAAACAGGCTGTTAAAAAGATTCAAATTGGGTCAGAAATCAGTCTCTGAACCTGAAGGTTTACATTTGTGTAAAACAAAGAATAAAGGAGTTTAAAGATAATGAAAACTGTTAAAGCATAGAAATTGAAATAGGGAGCAACATTTTTATCAGAATTTAAGCTATAACAAAGTATAAAACTGTAGGATGTAGCATTTAAGAAGATTTATGTGGTAAATAACATGGCATTCATCTGTAAAATGTTCAATATCTTGATGTGAGTGGTAGTTTTACTGCTGTAAATATAGTTAAGTGCATTCTAAGTACTTAATAAAGTAATTCTTAATTCAAAAAAAAAAAGAAAAGAAACAGGGTCTTTGCAGATGTAATTAAAGCTCTTGAGATGAGAGCTTCCTGGATTAGCCAAGTGGGCCATAAAACCAATGACAAGTGTCCTCCTAAGAGAAAGGCAGCGGGAGATGTGGGAAGACAAGACAGGAGGTAATGTGACCCCAGAAGCAGAGACTGGAGTGATGGAGCCACATTCCCACTCAAATGTGAACAGCCACCCAAATCTGGAGGAGGCACAGAATGGATTCTCCTCTAGAGTTTCCAGAGAATTTCACCCTGCCAGTGCCTTGATTTCAGACTTCTAGCTTCCAGAACTGTGAGAGAATACATTTCTGTTGTTTACCAGATCACTCGTGGTAATTTGTTACAGCACCACAGGAAACTAATACATAGATTAAGAGGATAAAAAAATCTTTAAGGAACTAGAAGATCTGAATAACACAATTACCAAGCTTGATTTAATGAATACAAATAGGACATTGCACTCAGCAACCATAGAATAAATATACACAAGGATATGTGTAAAGTTGACCAAAAAATTGAGCATACTAGGTCATAAAGCAAGTCTCTCTACAATGTCTAAGGATTGGTATCATAGCAACCACGTTCTCTGACCAGTATGGTGTTAAATTAGAAATCAGTAACCAACAGACAGCTAGTAAACCCTCATATTTCTACTCTTCCAGTCAACTCATGGGTCAGAAAATCATAATGGAAATTGGAAAACATTTAGAATTTAAGGGATTGGTACTCTCTTAGCAATGCAGCTTCCATCCTAGCAAGGCCCTACTCCAGAGGTTTTTACCCCACATTCTGGTGAACACTGAACCCTTCATATGTATACTGTCAAAACGACCAATATAAGGCATTCATTTTAGTTGTAATTAAACACACCATTAGGGAAAAATCTAATGATGACTGGGCCAAAACAATCACTAACAGGGTGCAACTTGCCATAAATAAGAAAGAAATACCACCTACCAAAGGGAAACCAAATGAGTGTATTGATAACTGGTTGTTTTTATGGACATTATGAGACATTATTTTTTACATTACACACGTAAAAGCATAATTTTATATATAATATGTAAATGTAATTTACATATTAAAATAATAGGTATAATATATAGAATATGCTATAATAAAAGCATATTTTAATAGTTATTAACTTAAAATCTTAGATGATTTGTTCTAGGATATGGAGTTAGGGAATAACATTACTAGCAACCACTGACCCAACATTGGACAGTTATAACACATGTCAATAATTACTGCAAGCTCCCATGGTTGCGGGTATTAATCTATTTGCTTGGCCTTTAGGTTGGTTGGTTGGTTTCTATTTCACACTAGGTTATCCATTTCATTAAACCAGGATATACATATATAAAATATATATGTAAGATATGTATCTTTATATATA